TGATTTTCAGACATCGTCACATAGATTATTTTGGAAAGAGCTTTTTATTCTTGTTCCAAACATTTCCCATCAAACAGTCGAGTGCAGTGATTAGTAAATCTGTGGGCAAGGGAAAGTTACACAACTTTTAATCCTAAATTGTAATGAAGACTTAATTCTCCTATATCTGAAGAAAGCATTTAAAGCATATTAATTTAGGTCTGCTCTCCCCCACTGAGAAATTATTACTTGGATAAGGTTTTTTTGTCCCTGTTTACAACACTAATGCCATAGCTGCTTCTGCAAGTAAGCAAGCTCAAAGTCAAAGGTCACCCGCTATCAAAACTACCAGGTTAATTAGTCACACACAGGGCATTCTGTTTGCACTTCTTATAACAAGCTAGAAGTATGTTAACACCACTGCTTGGATAGGTGTATATACCCAGGACTTATCACTTTCTGCTGCTTTCATTGAAAACCTGCAATGTTCTCAGATTAAATTAAGTACAGCAGACAATTTCAAATCCATCCCATAGTCTAGACAGAAATACATAACTGAATAACGATTCATTTAGTACCTTTGCCTAAATAAAATAAACTAATATAAAAGGAGTTTTGGAGTTGGAGGGGGTGGGACCTGGCTGCCGACTGAGCTGGTCGCACGGTGGTGGAGTTCCTCAAATTAATGGGGACTTTAAGCCTGAAAAACACAATAATTGTAGGTTATCTGCAACTAACTGAGCAACATAGGTCCACTAAATGCACTGCCACCACTCGAGACTGACCTTACACTCTCAGTCAGGTATTATCTGCAGTGAGACTCTTTGAGGCCTGCTGGGTGACTTGGAGCGGGGGAGGCAGCTGATTCCTCACTTCGCAGCTCCTCAGTACTTGCCTGGATGTCAGGATCCTGTCCTATTTAAGTATTCTTTACATAGAATACATCTGTCTAGTTCAGTTTAGTTATTTCTTTATATCCTGTTCAGTGGCATATTGCCTAAATCCTGTTTCCTATTATCCCTCTATACTGTACCTATAATCTCTCTTATAGGTTTATCTTCAATTATTCTTCCTATAACTTCTTTTATAGGTTTATCTTATTTCCACTTTGGACTTGTTGTCTAAGTCCTTTATTTCATAGCCTACTTACTTCCCTGTAATATCAGATATTCTGTTCTGTTTACCATCTCTCTTTCCAATAACTACAATTATAGGATAACCTGTTCTTACTATAATGTCTAAGATAACAAATAAAGACCCTGAAGTTAACCCCAATTTCAGTCTCATCCCTGACCTGCCCAAGATCATGACCCCGGGCTCCGTATCAGCCCCCTTTGGGCCGGTGGGGGTCATCCCGGCCTTCAATGACCAAGACAAGCTACACTACGAGGTCTGTCACTGTTTAGCCTCTTTGAAAAACACTGCTTGTTATGGCACTTACCTAGTGATCCCAAGATGGCTACCATCCACGATCATGTTGACTGGGACTTGCTACGCAACTTTGATTGCGTATGTGCAGCATTTTGGCAGAGGCTGGCTACAAGATCCAGGCTCTCTCACTCCTTGACCATGGTCCAACAGCACCCCACGCCTCCCTGTTCTGAATTAAAAACTCAGGTGTCACATGTTGCAGGATGCAAAGGTGTTGGAAGGCCGACTTTCTGCAAGCAGCAGGTTCGAGGGCCCATCTGACCCATACACAGCTCACGGCGGGAGCACCGCAGCAAAGTGTCACCCAGGCGCAGCAATGGCTCTGTAACTACGCAAAATACCTGGAGCGCCCCAAAAGACAAGCATGGTGGATATAACTGCAGGCAGTCCTTTGGCCCAGAGTGGCTATGAGCCCGGTGCTGGAGGCACGTTGGGTCTCTACTAGCTCTCCACTTCCCTGGTCTTTAGTCATGCTCAAGAGGGTGTCGGATAGAACTGCGGGACACTTTAATTGCATACATTCATTATGGTGTTTTTTGTTTATTTTAATTTGTTTTCTTAGCATTTTCTCTTTTTCATGCAGTGCTCTAAAGCCAACCGATAAGAGTGCTCTGATAGCTAAATAGTGAGACTTTAAGCGTCAGGATTTTTTTTTTGGTGTGATTTTTTTGGGGGGGAGTTTGGGTCTTTTATTTTAGAAGTTAAAAGTATTATTGTAGTATTTTATTTCGTTTTATTGTTCCCCCCATTCATACGTTTTTCTGCTCATGTCAGTGATGTATGTACTCTATACTGTCGAACCAAAAAAAATAAAATAAAAGGATTGACAAAAAAGGAGTTTTTCCAAGCACCATGACCACTTCAGTGATTTGAAGAGGTCATGATGCCTGGAATCGGTATGTACAGTGTTTTGCTATGAAATGCTGCCCATCTGCTGCTGAAAGTGTAACGCCACCCATGGCAGCATTAGCAGAGGGTCATTAGGCTGAGGGGACAACTTGGCACACGAAAAATAAAGGTAAGTTTATGCCTTATTATTTTGGGAGGGGGTTTGGTTTGAGTAACCCCATAAAAAGGCACAAGATCCCACAAACACATATTTACTATTCCTTTCTCAGATATTCTTTTTATTTTTACTTTAAACTCTTAGAACAATGGGACAGAAAGTGCAAGGTGTGATGACACTTAAGAAGAGGTAGCATTTCTGGATAATCATTTCCCACCCACCCAACCCATTACACTTACAGACAGCTCAAATTAACTGGCTTTCCTGACAAACCAATCATGTTCACCAACCCCTCCAAAGCTGAAATATCTTAAATGAATACCTTTTAACCCTTAATCCTAACCTCACCTATGATTTTTACAGCTCAATTTTCCATATCTTTAAAACACAGCACCTATTGTTCTAATAATGTTCTCCCTTCTATTTTTCACTTTGTCCCTCACTTCCCTCATTATTAAAAATCTCTCTATCTTCTTATTTACCTGTTCCTGCTGACACCATCTTCATTGCTCCCACTCTACTTTCCTCATCTCTGTATTCATCGCATATACTTTACTCATATTTATCCAGTCTCTCTCCACAAACCCCTCCTAAAACCTCTAACTACAAGCTCTCACCCCAAACACGTTACCATTACCTCCTCTCTTGGCCTATCGCAGTGGGCTAATACTCCCACACATGTAACTGGCAATACCCTTGATTTTATTTTTTTTCTAATGCATGCACTCTAAGCTCCACAACACTCCATTTCCTCTCTCAGATCACAACCTCTTATCATTTGTTCTTGAAAGCCCCCTCACCCAACAGTCTCACCCTAACACCTCTCAGCTCAAAAGGGACCTGAATTCACTTGACCTCCAGCAACTCTCAGCTGATCTCCATTCCAAACTCTCATTCATCCCCACTTTCTACTGTCCCTCTCTAGCTATCTCCTCATATAATGCTACCCCCACCTCCGCCCTGGACACTGCAACCCCGCTCCAAAGATGCACCTCAAGGAAGACGCGCCTCCAACCTTGGCACACTAAATCGACCCACTACCTGCAGAGATGCTCCCGTTCAGCCGAACGCTGCTGGAGGAAGTCCCGCACCTTGTCTGACTTCCTCCATTATAAATTCATTTTGTGTTCATATAGCACAGCCCTCACCCTTGCTAAACAATCCTACTTTTCTTCTCATCTTAGTTCACACTCACGCAATCCAAGGCGTCTCTTTAATACCTTTAACTCTCTCCTTCGCCCATCTCAAACTGACCTTTTAGCAGACAGCCCTGCATGCTACTTTACTGACAAGATTAAACAGTTAAGGAAAGAATTCTCTCCTCTTTTCTCCTCCCTCTCACAACCACACATGGACCATACCTTCCCTACCCTACAGGCCTTCTCCCCAGCTACAAAACAGGAGGTGGCCTTGCTTCTTTTCTCCTCTCGTCCCAGCACCTGTCTGCTTGATCTTCCCACCTTATCAGATCTCTCACCTAGTCTTGTCCCATTCTTAACACACATCCTAAACTGCTCTCTTTCATCTGGTGTTGTCCCTGCTCCCCTCAAGCAGGCTAGTCGTACCCATCCTAGAAAAGCCATCCCTAGACCTGTCTTACCCTTCCAACTATCGTCCCATATCCCGGCTTCTTTTTTCTTCAAAACTTCTATAAAGACCATGTCCTCCTTCTCTAAAGTCTTAAATCCCTCAGTCTGTGACACTGTCCTCTCGTGGTTCTCCTCTTATCTCTACCAATGTTCGTTCAGTGTCTCCTTTTGCAAAGACACCTCCCAAGGATCTGTTCTTGGTAACCTTCTGTTCTCTTTATACTCTCTTGGCAAAACACAATAACTCCTTTGTATTCCGCTACCATCTGTATGTCAACGACACCCAGATATATCTCTCCTACCCTGATCTCTCCCCCACGGTCCTGCAAAGGGTCACTGCTTGTCTTTTTCAATCTCTGATTGGATCCCCTCCCGCTTTCTGAAACTCACTCTAAAGCGGAGCTTATCTCCCCTCCCCCCCTCTTTAATTAGTAAAGTGAGAATACCAAGTTAATTTAAAAGTGATTTTAAAATTTGATGCCAGAGCAGCAGAACTTAAAACATAGCCCAGACTAACCTCTACCTCAGATACCTGTCTCTTGCTCTCTCTCCTAAAGGGCAGCACTCTACTCTCTCCTCCAGCTCTGCTCCACTCCCACCTATTTTAATTGCCATTTCCTGTCCCATAGTGTTTTATACCCCACCTCCTACAGACTGTAAGATTGTTTGAGCAGTGTACTCTTCAACCTACTGTTCCTGTAAGTTTTCTTGTAATTGGACAATTTATAGTTAAATCCCGCCCCCCCTCCCCCTCATAATGTTGTAAAGTGCTATGAAATCAAATAGCTAACTTTTTTTTCGGTTAGTCTACTTTGACCTTAAATTTCAAATCAACTTGGAATTCTCACCTAGTGAATAACCCTGTTAAACTTCCAAGTTAATTTAATGTTTAAGGCTAGAATAGCTAAATGCAGATTTTTATTTTATTTTATTTAGTTCAGCTTCATCCACCTTAAATTTGAAAAATTCACTTGGCATTCTGCTTTTGTAAAACCCTGCAAGTTCAGGCCAAATTCCCAAAGTCAGGAGAGCTCTGATATTTTGCTATACGTGAACTGATTTTCCACATCAGGAGGAAGATATCTTGTATCAGGTTTATTTACCAATATAAAAAAGATGAATGTGACAAAACTTTGGATATATTTTAAAAATATAGATGCCATTAACAAATTGCTATTCCTCTACAGTATTTTAACATTGCAAAAGTTATATTATTGTTTATAATTCGGTCACAGATTTACAGATGCTAGGAAACCTTTAAAATTGTGGGGTAGGAAGAACAGAACTGAAAACAAAATTAATCTAAGCACCTTGAAATGCAACATAGCTGCTTACAGTAAGCTTTGATATAATTTCTCTTCCTTTTTTATTTTAACTTAATCTAAGAACACATAGTAATTTCTGCATAGTAAGATGTGTGGCTTCATTAAATAAAAAAAAAAAATGTACATAAGTTTAGAGTCAAAGAATTACATAAACATCAGCATATTATACGTTGCAAACCACCTCAACATTCTCACAATGTTACATAGCACATAAGGACAGCATAAGGGTAAATGCTGGAAACAAAACAGAAATTAGCAAATAAAAATATAACTAATGACCCAACATGATTTGTACAAAATATTTTGAGCAGAACAAAATATAAATCATATGAATTTGAACTATGGGAAACATTTAAAGCACCACTGCATCAGGGATTCTCAAACAGCTATAGGAGGATGAATAATAATTTATTCAAAATAGTCCTTGGAAAAATACAGATTAGATTGCTAGACTTGATTGAATGTATGTGCATTACAGCAGCAGGTAGTATAATATAGATATGTAGTGGCATTTAATGTGATGGAGGCCAACATTTTTGTTTAAGTTCCATTATCTGATTTATAGGATAGGTGCCAATCTCAACACACACAGGATTTTTGGAGCGTTAACAACAATTAACCATAATTCTTAATACTCAATTAAACTGAAGACAAATGTTTGTCTATACTGCAGATGTGGATTTACCCTAGGTCATTAGAAAATACAGGTTTAAGTACTGCACATATACCCTTCCATGGAATCCTTTTGATCACATACAGTTTATCAGCAAGATGATCAGAATGACATTTGCGTTTTATTAGCGCTTCTTGAGAATTACTTTGTTATCATTATTGGCCTGTGGTAGACAACAGGTAGCCCTCTCGATGAGAGGGCAACTCGCACAACACTTTGACAGTCTGGTTAAGAAACATTAGAAATGTTAGTCTACAACAGCTGGAAAAGCATCAAAGATGTAGTTAGATGACATCTGGAGTAGTGCATTTTAGTTCCTCCTGCTTTAACCTGATTGAGAACTTGAGCCTTCCCACTATTTTGGAGGTAAGCATAGTCAGACCTGTAACACATCCCAACAACAATACTTTATAGGTTTTTTTTTAATAGTTTATCTTAAACATTCTTCAACACCCTCCAAGGACATTTGAGCCTTAAAGAACCACTATAGTGCCAGCAAAACATACTTGTTTTCCTGGCACTATATGAGACAGCCACTAGAGGCTGGATTAACCCCATTATAAACATAAGGGTTAATCCTATCTGGACCTGGCACCCAGATCACTTCATTAAGCTGAAGTGGTCTGGGTGCCTATAGTGGTCCTTTAAGGGCAACGGTCAGCTCACTGTACTAGATTTACTTATTCCAATATTTAAGATTCTACACTTGTGAGATGTGAAAGATAAGAAAAGGTTATTTACTAATGTGAGAATAGATGTGAATTCAAAGTGAATCTGCAAATTTTATACCAAAGTGGATTTTTTTCCAGTTCGGTTACTATGGCATTAAATTTTAAAGTCACTTTGCATTTGTAAAATTTCTGTCAGTCATTGTTATAAGCTTTGTTCTTTGCATCTAGAAGTCAGCATAGGGAAAACAAACAGAGTAGAATAGAATTGAAACAATGTTTTTATTTTTCCTCTTCATTTTCAATGTTTGCCTTCGCTTTACCTTGTCTGAACTAAATTAGGGTGTCTTTTGCGAACTCTTCAATAAAGAATTTAAAGAATACAGAGCATCTCACAAAAAAAGGTTAACATAAGAGAAATTCTACAGCAGACTACTGTATTCTTTATGTATGCATTAACAGATGGGTTTCTTGCATTGCTCTCATAAAATGTTAGTCTATACCAGAGGTGCCCAAAAGGTAGACCGCCAGATGTTGTAGAACAACAACTTCGATGACGCTTTGCATGCCGTTAGAATGGCAAAGTATCATGGAAGGTGGAGTTTTAAACAGTGGTCTAAACAGCATGTAGGTGTGTTTGGTATTCATTTATTAAGAAGAACAACACTCAAGTATAGCAAATAATTTGCATATAGGGAATATAAAAGCGGTTTTAATTCTTCTACTTTCTATTAACCAAGCAAAGTGTAATTATTTTACACTCCGGAAGTATACATAAACAACAGGATGAAAGGAAAAGTGGAGCCTTAATTATCCACACTTGTATTCACATAATTTGGATATATAGTTCATGACTACTTAATCAATAAAAGCATAGAAGATCCAAATTCCAAAAGTAGTAATCTTGATTTACTTACATTTTTTTTTTTTTTGCTATGGTCTGGCACCAAGATAATAGATGAGTAGTTAATAACCCCAAGAGAGGGCAAAGTTACTATTTGAATATGATATTTTAGAGAGAGAAAGAAGGTTGCGTGTGCAAGTTTGTATCACTCAGTCTCAAGCATACTGTACTGTATCTGCATATCAAAAAGCAAAAAAACTATGGCTCCCCTCACAACAATGCTGTTTACAGAATTATCCCAAAAAGCCATGTAAAATATGTAAAGAAGAACAGGCAGTAATATCACTTACTGACACAAACAGAGATTTGCTTGAATGAAAAGTGAACAGAATAACTAGAATATCTAACGTTAGATATTCACATGAATATATTGCTTTCATTTATTTAGTTTTAATACTGAAATTAAAGTTTTTTTTAAAGAAAGTCCCAGGCTGATTAGCAAGAACGCAACTTCTATGACAATAACAGAACCATGATACAAGCAACTTAAAGAGCCAATTATTGCAGAAAACAATACTTTCTTACTATCAAAAAATAAGTGAAATGATCGTAGATTTTAGGCTTGGCAACTGTTTAAAAATATTTAGATTTAAAAAAAAAATAAAAATTATATATATATATATATATATATATATATATATATATATATATATTTTAGAAATGGGAGGAAATCTGTACAACAACAGATTGACCACACAATTAAAGTAAAACTGCCATCTTTTAGTCTGTTAACCCCTTAACACCTGAAGGACACAGCTTCAGAAGTAAAAGTCCAGCATGACAGAAAATTTCTGTCATGTGCCTCCCATAAGGGGTTAAGGACACATGCCGTACGGATACGTCACTTTGTTTTGTGCCTGCAGGGGTTAAAACCCTGATAGCTCCTGATCTTACCAGGCGAGGCAGATTCACTTGATACCAGAGGCCATACTTAGTGGCCCCAGACTGAATCATAAGCTCTCTGCTGCGCTCAAAGTGAGTGCGGCACACAGCTCTGTACTGCGGGTGACATGAAGACCCATGGGGCCTGAAAAGCCTGCAATCCGGCATAAATGCACACTGCCGATAGTGCTCGGCATATGGCTGTGCATGCAGGAGCTGCAGCAAAAAAGAAAGATCTCCCATGCTGTAGATCCTGCATGCTGTCACTGCATGAAGTGTTGTAATAACACAATACTGGGCACTCTGTACTGTGTAAGATCGAAAATCCTTCTGGTAATGTCAATGATGAAGTCAACAGAGGGAATTCCTCTGAGCTAGAGATTCAGGATTAATAAAAGATTAGAGGGGATTAGGGTATATTACCTTCCAATATGCCATTGGCTGTAACTCCCATGAATCGAATAAAATAATGCAAGACATGTTGGAGTTATACTAAACCTTTTTTATTTTCCTGGACAAAATTTAATGTGGTATTCAGTGCCTTGTATACACTCTGCAAAAATTATTTAAGTGCTAGCTTTTTATACAAGTCGATTTCTTTTTTTATATTTCTATATCTTTTTCAAGCTAGTCAGAGCAAAGAGATGCTAAGGATCAATGTAAGCATAGCTATCTGTTTCCAATAGCCACCATGAGCAGATACAGATTATTACCTGCAAACTGCCTATTTTAGGAACTTCATGGAAAGAACAGAATTCAAAAACAACAATCTAAATAGTAGATGTGGGTCTATTGCACCCAATAAGGCTTGAGAAAAGTCTTAATGGCTGGATTATTGCCTCATTGAGTGCAATAAACCACAAAGTGCATTTTATAACTGGAGTTTTAGATTTATTTTCTATTGGTAAAGTAGCCTACCATGTGAAACAGAGCTTTTCTGCAGTGGTAAAAACGGCCGGTTTCATGTCAGGAAGTATGCAACATACCATTGGACTGCACACTTTAACTAGGGTACATAGCATTTGCGATCAAGTTTGGTAAATATCAACTGACTGGTTTAATGAACGGGATAGCTTCCGAGGTGAAGCTACATGACATAAGAGAACAAAGATATTCAAAAGTAGAATTTAAACTGAAGGAAAAAACAAAACAAACAAAAAATACTTAATGGCGGTGTTCAAATTAGGGTCTTTTACATAACAAAATGAACATCTCTCACACTTTCAGAAGTCCTCCTTCACATCTGTATCTTATCTTGCTGATATATACATATAGGTGATGCTGACCAAGAGCCTAACTCTTGGGCTGACCAGAATATATATGTTCTGGTTCTTTTGGAGAATCACATACAACTGAAATACTGATTTTATCTAGACAAAATCAATTTATTTTGAAGTGGTTGCTAAACAGTCATTGTGTGTACTTAAATCTCTGCAACAAAATGTGTGTTAGTTATTGGCTCTTCGAAACATATGGCTGATCTGCAAAGCTTTATGCTCTGCTAGCGTTGCCCAAGTCAACAAGACTGAAGATGGTGTATTGCTTGTGATCAACCACAAATCAGTTTGGTATTTTCCTATGATATATTCGGTATTGTCACTTGTCTCAAGTATGAGCCACTGGTCCCTTTTGGTCGTGTCTTTTAGTCAATGGCATTATCTGGTGTGAGTTCTCTGGTGACGTATGAGACAGGATTTCTGGCTAAAGCTCTTTTTGCATTCGTTGCATTTAAAAGGTCTTTCTCCAGTGTGGATCCTTTGGTGTTGAATCAGGACAGAGTTTTGGATAAAGCTCTTGTCGCACTCATTACACTTGTAAGGTCTTTCTCCTGTGTGTGTTCGCTGGTGAGTAATTAGGTGTGAGTTGCGACTAAAGCTTTTAGAACAATGTGTACACTTGTACGGTCTCTCCCCTGTATGAATACGGTGGTGTTTTATCAAGTTTGATTTAACAGTAAAACTCTTATCGCACTCTAAACATTTATATGGTCTTAATTCCATGGGTTTGCCTTGTTTCGGAGGAATACCCTTATGATGTAATAATGTTTTATCACAAAAGAACCAGCTATACGGACTACCTCTTCCATGTGCTGCCGAGACAGGACTTAAACTTCTTTCATTAACGCTGGGCCTAACAAAGCAGTTTGTTGACATATTGCTGGTTTTCCATTTTGCTGAAACTCCATTTAGACTTTTACTGAAACGCTGAGAAAAATTGTGTGTTCCAGAAATAGTTTCTTGCATGCTCAGACTGCCATTCCACGTTCCACGGTTTTCTGCCTGAATAGTGGTGCTTATAGGAACATTATCTGCGAAAATCAGAATATGACATTTTAACCACTTAAATTTTGTTTTTGGACTTTAAATAACAATGCAGTGGAATTGCTCTGCAGATATGGACAGTTCTTTTGTTCTGGTTTACATTGTATGCCTGTCCTGGCACAGCTAGCGCATACAATACAAACCCCCAATAATGCATTGTGCATACGACACTACAGAAGGAATGCCCGAGCAAGAATTAGCATACATGGGGCATTAAGGAGCAAGGACACGGCACACCGAGTGTTGCAGAAGTAAATGTGTTTTATATTGACCTCTGCTGCACTCCTCATCTCAGCAAATATTCGTTAGTGTTTACACAACACTGTTTACTTGAGTGAAGATTGAGGATTGGCCCGTTCAGAGAAGTGACAGTTTCTTTTTAAGGGTTTCTGTTTACTCACATGATTCAATGAAACCGTTGGCCTGTCCTCCATCTGAACCTGGACTGCTCTCTATATAACGTTCCTCATTTTCCTCAATCTTTGATAAGAATTCGGAATCCACAAATTCTAAAAAATGTATAAGTTTAGGGAGATGTTAAATAGATGTAAACGTGTTGCACCATGTGCCTTGATTTGTCAACACAGGTACAAAAAAGAGGAATGGCCAGCAAAAATGTACATAAACGTTGGCAACTAAAACAATCATAGATTTGCCAGTAAAAGCATAAACAAGTGTTTGGAAAAAAAGTTTAACTCATTCACTCAACAGCAGCTGTTCGCTATTCTGTTGTAAATTGAACTTCTACAAGACCAATTACAAGTTAGACATGCTTTATTTGCAAACTCTTTCACCAGAAGGACACCTTGAAATTCTGCTTTATGGCTAGTTACATATCTGTTACATGCACAAGCAGTACATCTCCAAACAATCTGTTTAGCAGTTAATGTCATTAGGCAGTAGGAGTACTTTGTTTTGATATGAAATCAATGCAATTGTAGAAATTGAGTAAGGTGTTAAAGTGGAGTAATCAACAATTATTATCATTGATTTTATTCATTTCTATCGGGTTTGCATCTACTTCAGAACTCTAATTCCCTTTGCAGATACCCCCCCACACCCCAGTGTGTTTAGTGTGGGAAATGTATATTGATTCCATATACAAACCAGTAATAGTACACTGCTAAACAGTGAGCATGGCAACACAAAAGCAAGATCCTTATGGCTGACAAAAAAATATATATATATTTAAAAAAAATAAAAATGAGCACATTTTAAAAATAAATAAATTAATAAACACAGTGCTGTATCCAGTGGCAGAATGGCTCAGCCCATCTCCTTTCAGGGCAGTCTTAGGCTTGAATCAGGAAGCCTCAATATGGGCACCACTTATTGGCTGAGAGTGTCAGGTGACGTGCTCAGCTATAAGCAGCACCCCATTCACAAAACAGCCTCAGGAACTGATGTATTTTTTTCAAGCCACTTTGCTAATAGGGAGCTACTGATTTCGGGTTAAATCACTTATTAACAGTTTACCCATACAGGTAAGACAGGAACATCTGTAACATAATCTACAGCATCAATTTTCATGTCAATGACACCATTTGTGTACGAGTTATCCTTTCACTGCTTCAGTATTCCTTGGGTAGGCTTTTTTCTTTAGAGAGAGAATTCATATGTTACTAAACTAATCCAGTTTTTATTTACCTTCAAAAACAACCAATGTAACCAACCTTTTCTGTGTCTCCTGGGTATTGGGGAGATACAAGTGCTCTATCCATTTAAAAGTATTTAAATCTACACATTCACATAAGTGTATGCTAGATTTAAACAAAAGGCTCACCTAGGAATACATTAAAATGACCATTAGATGTCACTATCGTACAACAAAAAAGTAGGTCCAGTAACAAATCACCAAGATATTACATAAAAATGCATCCAAGTGGTCATGTTGATGCAAGTAACTGGGCTGTTGTGAAAAAGACAAGCACACATGGAATATGGTTTAATCAGATTTTTACAGTTAGCCACCTGTTTGACAGGGATCAAGAATATTTACATTGCATTATCTTGGTGATATTTGCAAGATTAGCAAAGTGCCTTACTAACGCAGTCCAATTAATACAACTGCACAACTGAGGCCAAGAGTTTTAAAGAGTATGTCTCCTTACCTGCAGATGGACTGTCTGGCTGTTCTAGATCATCAGATGAACAATGAGTAGTATAGCGCATCACCTCCTCTTGCTTGATTTTAAGAAGGATGTTCGGATTAATAGTTGGGTAGCCTGAAAAATGAAAAACCATCTAATTAAGTGCAATTTTGTGCAGGAATACAAGTTTGTATTCCTAGCCTATGGTTCCCTTTAACTAGATCTACTAACATATGTTCAGGTTACTATGACCACTACCCTACCACTGTCTGTTGAACGAAAACTGCAAAGAAGGATGCTGACATTTCACCACAAGTAGCCCATTAAATTTCAAAAGACAGTCGCAAACTAGGATAGGCATCAATTATATAAGTTAGCAGATGGACGAACAGTCAATCACATGTATCTTATACTTCTATGCCAATGACATATTCAACTTAAAAAATATAGCACTAAATTTGCCAGAAATGTAGAAAACACATTTTATTGCTTATGAAGTGATGTCATTTTACCCATGAACACCAAAGCTGATGTATTATTACAACAATAGGGAAGGAAAGGCAATAAATCACAAGAGTAAAGCAAACATGTTAAAGGAGCTTCTTAAAATGAACCAAATTTCATGGTAAAGGACAACAAGGATATGCATTAAAAAACATTTTTAACAATATCTTGACTTTTTTAATTAGCCAAGATTAAATACAGAATAAGGCAAAAATGGCAATTACATTGTTAACAATATTAACCTATAAGGGGGAGTGCTGGAGATCACTGCAAAGTCAATCACTACTAAATGCAGTGAGTCACTGTGTTTAAATTGTATCAGTAAAGTAACTAATTCTCCAGTATAAATTTAATAAAAAAAAAAAAAAAAGTGTTATTTTGTTCTACATGTGAGTACGTTTAGATATTTGCAGATTACAAAACACATAAGAACAATCAATGAATCCTCACCAAGCGATATTAAGGCTTCATAGTTCTCTTTCATTATGTTCTTGTAGAGTTCTCTTTGCCATTCTTCCAACATCTCCCACTCTTCGTCTGAAATATATACAGCGATCCGGTTTCGAGATGCTGGGGTCTAAAGTAATTACAATAGATATTATACACGTACATACACAAATACAAAGAGGCACCTAAACCATTGCTGTAAAATACTCCAACATCCTACTGTGATGTGAGCATACTGAATTACATTTGGGAATCCATGTGCATATTTTAAAGACTTGGCACCACAAGAAGGAAAATGTGATGTTGAAATTTGAGGTTACCAAACAGTCCTGAAGAACATAAGTGGACTAGTTTCTTTGCATTTGTATTCACTTTTGTATCACACAGCTAAGTTGCAATGCTGCTGTCCATCCCATGTGTTCCCTATTAAGTGTTAATAAGCATGTAGGGATGTATATAAAAAAATTCCCCTTTCTGTCTCATTAGAGATATTTTTGCCAGAAGCTCAAGGAAGCAAGGCAAATGGTTAGCGTTAGGACCCACCTAAGAGGTCTGCCTTGACGTGGCACGTGGGCTTACCCTCTCATGGCCATTGGATGTAACTAAAAACCTCCATTTGTTTAAAAATACATAGGGATGTGGAAAGAGAGCATGTAACTTTTTTCCTTTGGTTTTTACTATATGTATTTTGGCTGATGTGTACTATAGTCATTGCTGCCACCCAGGAGTAATGAGCACAGGACTAGTTTCTTTGCATTTGTAGCCCTGAAGAACATGAATGAGAAGCTCCAGGACTTGCAGAATCATAGCTTGTGACCCCTCACATGGGTTCAAGTGGTGCTTGGTAAGAATATGGCAGAAATGGCCCTGTGACATGTGATACCACTTATCTCCATGTATATACAGCTTTCATTTGTGAGTACAATGCTAAATAAGTTGTAAATGAAATAGTATTATTAAATATACTTCAAATATTGTTTGCACATTTTAGATATACATATATTCATTTATTTTTAGTCCTTGACGACCAATAATTTTGTTTTTTGTGAGAAGTGTTTTTAATTCCCAATATTTCACGCCTTATGTTGAAATGTCATTCTGTGGAAATCTAATTCCCCCTCTCTCAGCCTGAATGAGCCGAATAAAAAAATAAAATAAAAAATAAAAAAAATAAAAAAAGGACTATACACATAGGTTCACAACAAAAATAATTAGCAACACTGCATATGGTGTTTGGAGTGTCCCTTTAATGAACTGTGATCCATCTCTCATGTTACTTACCAATTGATTTAGTTTATTTCTTCTGTCTATTTTTTTTTTTGTTTGGACACATTGTTCTGTTGCATGCATCAATATCTGACCTCAAAAGACTACGTTTACTGGCATGAAATGATAAACCAGCAGTTTATAGAAAATTGGAACAAGAAACAAAAATAAAAAGTAGGAACAAATAACTGTAGTAACCTAAATAACTCTTTATTATGAATACTTTGAAACACGTCAGAAGTTTAAAATGTATAAATACAGGCGCAACTAAAAAAGAAAATTGGATCCAAGAAAAAAAAACAAATACAACGCTGTGACGTTTGCTTACAGAGCTTGCAAAAAACTATTAAAAATTAAGTATCACATTTATTTGAAAGAGGTTTTTTTTTTTTTTCCTCTCTTTTTCAAACAGAGATGTTACATACCTTCCTCTGCAAGGCTCTCGGTACTGGAGTAAAACTTCCTTTAACACACTGGGACTTAAGAGGAAGCAGCTTCCTCCTCAATAACTGAGGTTTCTTTGGAGAGTTGCGGATACCATCCTCGTCCTGTGTAAAAAAACATTATTGAAGGTTGGCCCAACCATCTCCCAACAACTTCTGTCAATCTAATTAGTGATTGACAGCTTCACTTCCGTCAGTCTAATTAGTGATTTCACCACTGATCAAATGAACACACACATACTATTACACTGGAAACAATATCCGAATGATTTACCAAAATGAAAATTGCTAAAATCAATATGAATTTCAAACGTAAGGCCAAAACAGGAAATATTCTCCAAGTCAACTATGCTTCAAGTTTGGCTATTTTGATCTAAAATTTTAAATTCGGAAAACTGAATAGAATATTTATCTGTGTTTAGCACTTTTCCCCAGACTTGCTTCACATGCTGTAGCGATCTATCTCTGGAGGATTACAGGTTTGAATCCTGGCAGGGCCAACTAATCTTTTAACATACAGAGATCATTGAAATGATTATCAATATGTACTAATTATAGAAGTGCTTTGATGCTCATGCAAGAAGTGAAACACTGTACACACAGCATGATCATTATTAGTTTCTATGATGACTGCTCCTTATTCAGCAGTGTGTCCTAGAATTGCACCTGTGCAGACCTGGAAAATATTACATACTGCCAACATGAAAAAAGTTAAATTAAACCAAAATTATTTTTCCTTTTTTAAATAAAGGGAGCAAAATGTGACAGGTTATTTTATAAAATACAAGGTTAGATGTCATTCCATTCACCTATATGTCAAAACAAAGGGGACACATTATTAGTCATACCACATGTTCTTCTGAATCCTGGGAGGTGGAGGGGCTGCTTATCTGATCCGATTCTAGCTCAGTCCTTTTCTGCTGCTGAAGAAGATTATCCAAGAGCTGCAAAAAAAAAAAAAAAGGGGCATCACAAAGAGTAAATACTAAAATTATCACCCAAAAAAAAATTATACAAATTACAGTAGACTAAAGACCTACAACTATTTTCAGTAGTAAAGTGAAAAAGAAGAAGAAAAAAAAAAAAAAAAGGACCGCCATCCAACAATAAAGACAATTTAGGCATAGAAGTTTACCTTTACCTGTTCTGGGGAGTATAGTCAGTCTTTTCAGGCTTTTTGCTGTAAACACTTTTTTCACAGAAAATGCAGTGTTTACATTACAGTCTAGGGATAACTCCACTTGCCACTCCTCAGATGGCTGATAGAAGTGCTTCCTGGGACAGTGCTGCATATTGTGCAGCACTGCCAATAGTGTATCCTTTCTCTGCATGGAGACACTGAACTTTCCTCATTTAGATGCATTGATTCAATACAACTCTATGAGGATATGCTGATTGGCCAGTGCTGTGTTTGGCTTGTGCAGTTTCAGCCAATCCTATGGGAAAGCATTGGCTCAGAACATCACTGCTGATTATGTCAGCCAAGCAGGCAGATCATGGGTAGAGCCAGGAGCTGTAGACTTGAACAAAAGTAACATTTTACTATATTTAGAGGGGGGGGGGCAAGGGTTGGCCAGTGGGGCTAGATAGTGGTTTTAACACGATGGGGTCAGAATACATGTTTGTGTTCCTGACCCCATAGTGTTCCTTTAAACAATTAAATTAATAAGACACAAGTTAATGAGAAAGTAAGCAAAACAGTAAGTAATATATATCAAGAGAAATTATGTTGGTACACCTGTCTACATCTTCCAACTGTCGCAGATACGGAGTGACTGATTCACTGTGGGACAAGTGTCCCATCATCTCTGGTTACAATTCAGATGACTCATTTGCTTGGGACAGCAGTCAGCATTACAGAACTTGCTCTGAGCATGTGCAGAATTGGCAACATGTCAAGTTGCCCCACCCACCATTCTGGTTTCCCTGTTGTAACATGTATGCCAGTGTAATAGCAACCAAGCCCCAAATTCATTGTGTTTTGCTAAAATAGAGAGCTGGCATTATTACATCTGTTTTGATTTTTAATTATGTTTACAGCAGTAAAGCAGTTAACCTAAATGTATAATTACCACAGCAGGATCCCACTGGATATCTGCTAGATTTTTTTTTCCTCCCTAATTTTAATTCAGACAGTGACACCCCACTCATTAATTGAGAACACTGGTCTTGATTTAATGTCTTTGGAAAAGCATTTCAATTAAATGAGTTTGGGTAAACTTATCCAACAATAAGGCCTTGGTAATAGGTACAGACTTTCATTAATGACCATAACAGAAGGCTTAGATTTTTTTTATGCTTATTTGGAGTTTGTAAGTTAGTTATAGTATTCATGATTATTGTACCCTGCCCTCAACCTACCCCATTAGTGTGCCTCTGCCCCAACTAACCGCTTTAGTGTCCCTGCCTCTGACAAAGCACAATTAAAGTCTCTACCCCAATCCATTTGTGTCTTAATTTGTCTGCAATGCAATCTATACACAAACTTGCTGTGCTGTGATATATTTATATGCTAGCTTTGCATCCTTACTTCAAACAAACATTATGCTATTTTTTCAATCAAAAAGTGCTCAGAAGTAAAGGGATTGAATACACTCAAATTGTAGCTACCATTAGAGTGCTTTATATAGCTTAAGCATGGTCCAATAGCATGTGAACTGCATGTGGTATAATTCACTATGTTAATGGTCATACTAGATTAAATGCAACACATGGTGTTTCAATATTTCATAAGCTTTATATATCGAAGGTTTTTTTGGTGGAAACAAAACAATATGGTAGAGAGATAAATGTTTGAACTTTTATAAGAATGCTTTAGGAAATTTCATAGAACAGGCTGTGATTGAGTGATATTCCACGTGTGCCATGTAAAACATTACCTGTTTTCGCTCATGTATTTTCAAGTGATGTGTTGCTTGCTTGTGTAATTTGGGGGCACCGGTGGCGAAGAGAGTTGGAACAGCATTCGCTTTTAACCTTCGTCTTGTCCATTTGGGTTTCAATTCACATGGAACACAAGGTGAATCAATGCTTGGTTCAAACATATCCTCCTCAAAGTGTTCTGAGCACAGCACAAAGTGCCCTGTTTTTTTCAAAAGGATGTCTCTTACAAACTCCTGTACGTTTCCCACATTGGTGCGGCTGTGATGGACCCAGGCTTCTGCCAAAGGCAGCTCCTTTGGAAAGGAGTGCATAGAAACAGCAAGCGGGAGTTTCCCACTATGATTTGTGCAGCCATAGGCAAAACAATGAGGCATTTCCAACCTGTAGAGGAAAAACATGACACAGTCATGATTAAAAATGTAGCAAAGAAATGTCAATAGGCTTTAATAAAAATGAAAAAGATGTGTTTTATCCAGGAAGATTCCATTTTCTATTGTTCCAACTATATCATTGGGATATTAAAGTTACAATTAAATAACTAAATAGTACTCTTTTTTGTAACTTCAGAAGTGAGAGAAAAAAAAATGATCAGATGATCCTGACATCTTGACGAATACTAAAATTGGTGCATTAATTATGGTCATTTCACAGGCTGTGCAAATGTACTAAATTTAGAGCAGGTTGCCAAAATAAGTTTATATATGTTTATAATAATAAATACAAAATAAAACCTTTAATGCATAATGGGGCCACTGGGAAACACAACTGCATAAAAGACTATAGAAGTAGCAGTTAAAGTGCATACTGTGACATCCATCACAATTATTGTAATGTATTTATTGTGGAGCTTTAAGCAGAAAAAAAACCAAAAATCAAACTGTGATATGCTGTACATACCCCCCTTTTTTTTCCCCCAACCTGACTATATAATTTAACCATTACATCACTAGTTTTATATGGTGTGGATAGTTAAAAGTGTTTTGCTCAATAAAGATAAGAACAGCTGGAATATTTCCAAAAACGTAAAGGTATTAGCACAGATTTGTTGTTGTGGCCCTTCACATTTGCCTTTGAAGTACTTGAGGCTGCTGCAACACATGTAGAGTTGCTGTTCCACAGTTTTAACCTTCAAAGTTTTACTTCATACTACATTCACATCGTCACCTGCATGCTTTCCTCTCTCAGGGATTGTGCACAGTCCCTTAATCCGTGCACGATATGCTTAAAATGTCCCACAGGCAAGGATTACTGGTTAAAGCAGCTTCCTTCCCCCTATAAGGCATGAAAGCACATTTGCTTTGCTCTGAGCCCTTCCAGAAAATCATCCTTCAAGGCCTTTCCATAAAGAAAGCCTACAGATGGGACCTTCAACCTCTCGCTGGAGGAGGCCCTGTTATGCATGCTTCTCAATAAGCTGCATGCCCCTTGTGCAGAGAGTAGAGACAGCCTGTCTATACACGTAATGCATTCTTCACAAGGTACTCATTTATTCCTCGCTATGTATTCTCCACACTTCAGGAAGTAAAACATAAAACGTTCAAGTAATATATGCAAAGACCACATTTTACCTAGTATATTTAACTCTAATTTAAGAAAGTATACTTCTCATCCAGAATAAAAAAGGAGGACAACACTTCAGTTGTTGCTAGGGTAAATGTACTAAGTTTTAAACATTTGTATTTCGCACTTATAACTATTTTGCACATATAGATTAAAAACGTGTTGCAGACAGCATTCTGAGGACACTGTAAGTGGTTTTTGCCTTTGTAGTTATTAAGGGTAAAATAACAGCCATCATCTGCTAATTTACCCTTAAAGGAACTCTATAGGGTCAGGAACACAAACATGTATTCCTGACCCTATAGTGTTCAAACCACAATTTAGGCGGCTTGCTCCCCTTAAAAAGTAAGAAAATGTATCTTATTTCTTGCGCCAGGTGGGTCCGCTGGCATTTCCCCCGCCCAATAAAGGCACATAGTCCATTTCATCTCAACAGAATGGTCTGGGTGCATTGCCGCTATCATTTTAGTATGGCAATCTAAAACATTGCCATTAATTAGATAAGGCAAAGATTTGATTGCAGGGCTAAACACACCTCTAGTGGCTGTCTTCTGACAGCTACCAGTGGACGATTCCACAGTAGCTATGTTTGACTTGGTTTTGTGATGCTCAATGTCGACAGTCAGCAAATTCTGATCAAAGGGAAGCATCGGAATCAATGCTTTCCTATGCAAAGCATTTGAATGAACAAGTGCGGAGCTCGCCTCAAACTTGTTTCTTGTGCCCAATGAGAAGCAATTGACTGAACGAGAAGCAAAGCCTGTGTGATGACATCATTGGAGGTGAGCCAGGTGATAGTCCTGGGTGAGTCTCAGCACTGGAATAAAAAAGTTAATAAAAAAATTTTTCTCTTCCCCCCCACATTTAATTTAGGAGGGCCCATCAATTTAAATAGGGATCAGAGCAATATAGCATTAGTTTTGCATGTTTTCCTTTAATACCCCCGGAGCAATATAATAAAACTAAACATGTAAAATCCTAGGGAAGTTGAAAAGTTTGAAGCTCAACATTTTGCTGTGAGTGAATGCATCTTCTGGTCATCTTTGTTAGTGTCAGTCACTTGTTTCCTTATTCCAAAACTTTGTTAGAAGGATAAATTCTAAAGGAAGATCTTAACATGGAATGAATTCTTAGTTTTTCAGCAAATTAGTTTTGACAGACCACCATGACAACCACACAGGTTACAAAATCATCAAACTATTGAACATGAAAACAAAGCCTTCTAAGTCCTAAAGTACAGATGTTTTGTTTGTTTTTGACCAAAGTATTAAGCTCAGGTTTTCCCTTTTATTTTATTTTTTGCTGCTTCCTTTCATTTGTTTTTACTTTGAACCATACTAACATTAAAAATATATTAAATCAGATTATTTCAATGATAATGATGTGGAAGTACAACCAAATGCTTAAAGAGGAAGTTTTCACTTCCAATATTTTAGCACATATGTACATATTAGTTAACCCAGGGCTCGACAAATCCCAGGCATTAAAAATTTTGCCCGGGCGCCTGGGATTTGTCAGCTTTTTATCTAAAACGCACGGCTCAGTGAGCGTTGTAGCCGACCCTGAGCTTTATGGAGGCGGCTGGCTCAGTGGAGTATCAAGGTTGGCTGGCGCAGCGTGGGAGGGAGCAATGATCTTCCAGCGGCTCCTCTGCTCCCTCGCGCTGTTTAATGATGATGGGAGACGCAATATGACGTCATTCCGGCCCCGGCATCACAGGGAGCAGAGAGTAGCTGCATGGTAGATTACTGCTCCCTCTCACACAGGAAGAGAGAGCAGCCCCACTGAACCCCAGGAAAGTCCACTCAGCCCTCCCAAAGGTAGGGAGGCTGGGTGGATAAAAAAAAAAAAAAAATGTAAATTTGTGAGTGTTTGAGAAAGTGTATATGCCTGTGTGTGTGTGTGTGTGTGTGTGTGTGTGTGTGCGCGTACGTGTCTCTGTCACATGATGGTGTTTTTACTCACTTTTTTCCCCCACGGTGTGCAGGTTTTGCCGTGGCTTGCCCCGCCTCCATTGCCAAGTTCATCAGTCTTTATGATCTCAGCTAAGCCAATGCTTTCCCATAGGAAAGCATTGGGAGGATATTGCGCATGTTCTGTATGGGTAACATTCAGCACGTCCATGCAGAGCACTGACACAGGACTGTCTAGTGGCCGTTTGAGTGACAGCCACTACAGGTCTTAATAGGCAGCAATGTAAACACTGCTACAGGGACAGGCTATAGGCACCAGAACCACTACATTAAGCTGTAGTGGTTCTGGTGACTATAGTGCCCCTCTTAAAAAAAAAAAAAATTTAAAAAAAAATATATGACTCCTTACTTTTTTAGCTGGCTCTTAGATGCCAAACAAATTTGTCAAGCCCTGAGTTAACCCATGCCTAACGTAAATTCTGTTCATAATCCCGTGATCCAATCACAGGCTTCATATAGACAAGCCTGTGAATAGACAGTTTTGCTGGCTCAAAGTGCATCCCACTCTCTGCACTGGCAAGAGGAGGGAGGATTTTTTTTTTTTTTTTTTTTTAATACTGTTTGCAACGGAAGGAGATGGGAGACAGCAAACAGTTGGAGGGAGAGGAAAACTATCCCTTTATTTTAATGATTTTTACATCTGTCATGAGGTAGTTTAAAGGAACACTCCAGGCACCATATACACCATACGATGTAGTGGTCATGTTGCTAGGAGAGCCCTGGAAGCCCCCGCAAAATAAGTACACAAATGGTTTGACTTCTAACCTGGGGTCCACCGGTTGCCTTGTTGAGTGGGGGGAATAAAGATGGGAGTCAGCTTGGTGCAGAAAAAGCGCAGTGTTAGAGATACAATAAATACGACACTCCTTGTCTAGATCTATTACTTTGTTTCTTCCTGTTGTGGCTGAATCAAAAGCAGCCCGGCAGAGATAGTACAGAGTGGCCATGCAGAAGTGTCTGGGGACCTGAACAATTGAAAAATGGTCTAGCAGAAAGATGCATGTACTCTCTACAGGAGGTTTGGGGCCGCCGTCACTGAAACAGGGTCAGTCTATTAGCTGAGAGCATCAGCTGACTGCACCACTGGGTACATGTCCAGTAGAGAGCTCCAGGCTCTCCTGCCAGATGCAAAGGAGCAACACCTGGTGGACTCCAAGTAACAAATCAAACCCTTCTAAAATGCTTTGACTACTTACATATGGGGGTGGTGGATAACAACAGCACAGTGTATGTAACTCTTTGACGAATAATTGAATATTTAATTTCAATAACTAGCATTGTGAATCGATTCCACAGTGGCTATATAATCCCATATGCAATTTAATCTCCACTGTCTGGACAAATTATTGATTTAAAAGAATCTGTAAAACTTTAGACATTTGATAACAACATAATTCGATAGTTCGAGCAGCAAGAGGGTTAACAAATGCTTGTGAAATAGCATGCTATTTTGTGCTAAATGTGTATTAAAGGCCAAAACTCCTGACGTTGAGTCCCATGATTTTACCATCCCTCTAGAAGTGCCATGGCACCAGAGAGTTTAATTGGAAGAAAAATTAGACAGAGTGAATTCTTGTGACCAGTGGGTGAAAACATCTGCACTTCTACCAGATGAATTGGAACAATTAAGGATGCCCCTGCAGCCAAGCCTAGTTTCCTTTTCAGACATTACACAGCGTTACCTTCACTAATTACAACAAATATTTACTTAACAGGCCTATGGCATGCTGCACTTAAAAAAAACAATTATTTTATTTTTTTAAGAAATGTGAATTAAAAATGAAAGAAGATTGCAAAACATTTTTGGGTGTCATCCAATATATTTCTGCTACACTGAACCA